AGAATATTCTAGAACTGAAATGTTTACTGATAAAGGTGAATAAAAGAATATAACACACTGTTTTGATTACTGTAGCTCTGAAATACTATCTGAAGTCTAAAAGGGTTATACCTCCAGCTTTGTTCCTTTTTCCTTAGGATTGCTTTGGTAAGCCTGAGACTTTTGTAGTTCCATATAAATTTTAGGATTATTTGTTCTAGTTCTGTGAAAAATGTCATGGGTAATTTGATAGGTATCACATTAAATCTGTAGATTGCTTGGGCAGTATGGCTATTTTAACTATATTAATTCTACCAATTAAATATCTTGGAGACAGATCAATATAAATGATTCAATCTAAGTGCAGAGAAAAAAGGAGGAAACATGAAGTACCTCAGAGGTATGTAGAACAATATCAACAAGGTATATGTAAACAGTCCAATAAAGAGAGAGAGGAAAAGATGCATAAAAAGTATTTGATGAAATAATGGTTGAAAATGTCCCAAATTTGGTAAAAGACATAAATTCACTGATTCAAGTAGCTCAGAAAACTCCAACACAAAGAATATTATACCAAGTCGCATCACAGTTAAATTGCTAAAAGTCAAAATCAAAAGAAAATCTTCAAAGAAGTCAGAGAAAAGTGATATATTACACACATGTGGAGAATGATGAAAATTCCACTGACTTCTTATGAGAATCTATGGAGATCTGAAGATAGTCAAATACTTTCAAAAAGCTCAAATAAATAAAAACTGCCATTGTGTAGATAATTTAGTTTGGAGTCTTATGTTGCAATCTTCTTCATCTTCATGACTGACTGGTTCACCTTTTTGCCTGAAGGCCTCAAGGATTTTTCCATGAGATTTAAAGTCTGAAAAAGCTTTTGAAAAAACGTCACACCCATTACTAATAAAAAAATTCTTGAGAAAATAGGAATTAATAGTGTGGTAGGCAGCACCTAGGATGGTCCCTGGTGGTCCCTGCTGCTCAGCATGCAGGTCTTGTGTAACGGCCTCCCCTTGAGTGTCAGAGCAACAGTGATGCGATGCCACTTCCATGATTAGACTAGAAAGGGACAAGGGCTCCCCTCTCACATAGCCTCACGTGCTCTTTCACTTGCTCACTCTGATCGAAGTCAGCTGCCATGTTGTGAGCTATATAATAGAGGCTAAGTGGTGACGAACTAAGGGAGTTCTCTGGCCCACAGCCTGCTAGGAACTGATGCCCTCAGTCTAACAACCTGCGAGGAATTGTTTGGATCCTGCCAACAACCATATGAGTGAACACAGATATAGGATAATTACTCAGTTGTGCTTTCAGGTCAATCAGCAGCCCTGGGCAACAATCTTGATTAGAGCCTTGAGAGAGACACTGAAGCAAAGGGATCCAGCTAAGCCAAGCCCAGATTCTGGACCTTCAAAAAATACAGGAGAATAAGTGTTTATTCTTTTAACTACCCCTACATTTTAAGCAACTACATTTTGAGATAATCCGTTGAGCAGCAAGAGATTATTAACACAAATGGATATTTACTTAACATATAAGAATTGTGTTAACTGTAAGGCCAGCATCTTTCTTAGTGGAGAAAACCTAGAGATATTCCCACTAAGGTCTGAAAGAAGACAAGGATGCCTACTACCTCAAATACAATTTTACACTGCTCTGGAGAAGGACTAGCCAACGCAATCAGAATAGAGAAAATAAAGATTTGGAAAAGAAGAAATAACACTGTATTTTCAGACATGAGAGTAATGTATACCAGGGAAACTCTGGAGAATCAATGATAAAACTAACTCAAACAATAGAAGATTTCAGGAAGGAGCATGATATAAACTTAATATGCAAAAAACCATAGTGCTCCTATAAACAAAAATTACCCAGTTAGAAGACATAACAGATAAGAAAGATTCACACAGCAAAAAAATTAAACATTTAGGAAAATAAACTATTAGAAATGTTCAAAACCTACATGGAGAAAAATATAAAGTTATCTATTAAGGATAGAAAAGTAGGGCTAAAAAATGTTAATACATTCCTGTTCTTAGAAATATATACTAAACTAGTTAGGGGTGAAAAACCACACTTCAGAAAAAAAAAAAAATACATACATATATAAAGAGAATGAAAACAAAAACTTGATAAACCAAATAGGGAAGAACATCACTGAAGATATTTAAAGTGAATCTAGTCCAGAAGAAACAATCAAACAAGACATCTACTTCAAAAATCCAGACATCTACCTTAAAAAAAAAATCTTGAGGGGAAATTTGGATAATTTAAATATGAACTGTATATTAAATGATATTATTGAATTAATACTACTTTTCTTAGACCTAAAAATAATAAAATTATGTGCAAGAATGTCTTTATTCTTAGATACATAGGGGCTTCCCAGGTGGCACTAATGGTAAAGAATCCACCTGCCAATGCAGGAGACACAGGAGACGTGGGTTCGATCCCTAGTCAGGGAAGACTGCTTAGAGTAGGAAATAGCAACCTACTCCAGTATTTTCTGCCTGGAAAATTCCATGGACAGAGGAGCCTGGTGGGCTATATAATCCACGGGGCCACAGAGAGTCGAACACAACTGAGCGCACGCATGCACACACACACACTATAATGTGTGCAATTTGTGTGTAAGAGAGTGGGAGAGAGGAAAGGAAAGGAGGGAAAGAGGGGGAGTAAAGAGAGAGTAGAAGGGGGAGAAAGAGGAAGGAAATGCAGTAAAATGTTAACTGGTCACATTTAGGTGAAGCCTATACCACTGGTCCTTGAACAAGAGGCTTTAAAGTCCACAGGTCCAATTACATTCTGATTTTTTTTCAACAAATTTCTATTAAGTACAATACCATCCAAGGTTGGGTGAGTCCACAGATGTGAACTGTGGATATGGATGTTAGGGAAATTAAAAAGTCTTATTTAGGCTTCAGAGACAAATCAGAGCAGGCCTCTGACCTTGCTTCTAACCTGCCTGGACACTGCCCTGACTGTGAGTGACTGTCTTCTGTGAATGCAAGACTGGCAGCATCATAGGTGAAACAGGGGATGAATCTTGAGATTGTTGAGCCTCTGGAGGGGAGCTGGCCAACCAAGCCCCAGGTTTAAAAACATTCCAAGTTCTATGCATTAACATGAAATCAGAGCTGCTATTTGCTCACAGTTTGATGACTGCATCCTGGGATTGTAAGTGGGAACCCGAACTGTGATCTCTAAAGTCTCACCCACAGAGCGGACATGCTGCCTGAGACATTTTCCCAATTGAGACTCCCAACGTGCTGTGTCACAGGACTTTTCAGTACTGTTTGAGTCTGTATGTTGGTGAAAACTCAATTTGGTGATGTATTCTCTGCTGTTTCTATTTTCCTTTCTTTTAATGCTAGTATATTGAAATTAAGCTAGATAATTCTCTAATAAATATTGGTTATTATTTATTTGTGTAGAACGAGTATATGTATGGATGTGAGAGTTGGACCATAAAGAAAGCTGATGGTCAAAGAGTTGATGCTTTCAAACTGTGGTGTTGGAGAAGACTCCTCAGAGTCCTTTGGACTGCAAGGATATCCAACCAGTCCATCCTAAAGGAAATCGGTCCTGAATATTCACTGGAAGGACTAATGCTGAATGAAGCTGAAACTCCAATACTTAGGCTACCTAATGAGAAGAACTGACTCCCTGGAAAAGATCCTGATGCTGGGAAAGATTGAAGGCAGGAGGAGAAGGGGATGACAGAGGAAGAGATGGTTGGATGGCATCACCAACTCGATCGATATGAGTTTGAGTAATCTCCGGGAGTTGGTGATGGACAGGGAAACCCGGCATGCTACAGTCCATGGGGTCACAAAGAGTAGGACACGACTGAACGACTGAACTGAACTGATAGAACAAGTGGCTTATTTTGTTAACAAATCCTTTGAACCTGAGACAAAAGTGAAAACTTTTGGCAAAACAATGGAGGACTGACTATAAAGTTATACCTGGATTTTCAACTATGAGAGGGTGGCATCTCTAACCTCCATGTTAGATCAACTCTATGGATGTTCATTGTACTATGCTTCCAACTTTTTTGTTGGTCAGAAATTTTTCAAAAATAAAAGGTTGGGTAAAATGACAGAGACTCCTGGCTTATAGATGAAGGTGTAAAGTTAACTCTTTCTAATTTACCTCCTGAAAATCATGCCAAATGATAAAAAGAACAAGAAAAGGTGATGCAAATTCCTCCCTCAACAAAATTAGGAGGTGGGTAGAAAGAAAGGGAAATACAAGATAAGGAAATTCACCTTCCTTAGTCAAGAGATAAAGTTGATATACTAAAAACAAAGGTGTAAATGCATTTTAAAAAGATACATTATGGAGGTATTATGGAGGTAATCATCAAAAGAACTAAAACAAATGAAGGACATAGGGAAGGAGGCTTTTACTCTATATTTTAAATCTTTTAGACCATCAGGCTATTTATATCAGTAGCATATGTAGCAGTAGTAGCAATACTAACAATCACATGCTAAGTCGCCTCAGTTGTGTCCCAATCTGCAACCCCATGGACTGTAGCCCTCCAGGCTCCTCTGTCCATGGATTTTCCAGGCAGGAATATTGAAGTGGGTTGCCATTTCCTTCTCCAGGGGATCTTCCTGACCCAGGTATCAAACCCATGCCTCTTATGTCTCCTGCATTGGCAGGTGGGTTCTTTACCACTAGTGCCAACTGGGGAGCCCAATACTCCCAATTCCATGGACTACCCAGAAGGATTCTGTGACCGGGATGCTGCAAGAAAAAAAATTTATCTTTCATCATCTTTACTACCCTGAAGTGAGATATTCAAAACATAAATGTAAATGGTAAGATACTTTAAAATACTACTGGGTTTAGCAGAACCACAGGTCTACCTACATGAGCACCATGATCACAATACCAAAAAATAATAAATTAATACAGTAAAATATTCCCTAATATTTAAAATAACTTAAAATTATGTTCATTCTTGTTCTTTTTTTAAAAAAAAAATGTAAAAACAGACTCACAGTTCCACAAGGTTTGGAAGCTTCTGAGCAAGGTTTTCTGGCTGAAAATTAAAAACTCAGAATTAAATTTTATTTTTGAAAAATGTATAAACATTTCTAAACAGCTTAAATACAAAGTACTACCTTTTGAAGGGCTGTAAATTTTGAGAAAATGTGAAAATAATACATCAGCAGGTCTGGGTTAATGCTTATGTAGATCAAACTACAATTTAAATGTATACATCTGAACACTTAAAATCCACATCCCTTGGAGAAACCAGATCTCATATTTCATAGTCACCGAAGAAATAAAAATGTTTTAACAGACACAGAGGGAATAGCACCATGTGATGCTGGGGTCAGAGGTGGGAGGGATGCAGCTACAAAGCCAAAGAACACGGCTAGCAAAGCACCCCGCCCCTGTGAGCTCAGAGAAAGGAAGAGACTCTTTCTCAAAGCCACAAGAAGGAACCAACCCAATCAACACCATGGTTTTGAACTTCTGCCCCCCAGAACTGTGAGACAGTAAATTTCTGCTATTTTAAGCCACCTAGCCTGTGTAATTCATTACAGTAGCCCTAAAAATAATAATACCAACCCCTTGTCAAACCAAAATCCCAAACTACTCCTGAGGAGAAAAGAACTGAAGTTGCAGAGGGCCAGACACCAAGACATAACTAAACTCAGAATAAACAGAGTAAGCTGGAGCTCAGGTGGTCTAAGGGAGGTCACATCTGGACCAGGTTCTAAGTTCTGAGCAGGAGTGTGATGCAACAGGGACAGGAAGCAGGCCACGGGAGGAGGGGAAGGGAGATGGGGATAGGCCCTGGGTAGGAGGAAAAGCCTCCTGTAAGTAACTGAAAGTCAGCCTGCATCTCTCTCTCTCTCACACACACACACAAAGACAGGAGTTGTTAAGACTGAAAGAGCACACTGAGTCAGGAGTAACATTTTTTTTTTTTCTACACTAAAACATACTGTAGAATAAAGCTAGATATCAATAACGAAGAATCAGGAATGGTTTTTTAAAAGAAATTATGACTAACTTGAGGCTTGAAAGACATAACTACCAAAGGCTGCCATGGAGTAGGGAAGAGGAGTGTTCTGGTTAGCTTTCTAGGCACACGAATCAACATGTGAAAAGACCAAAGACAGACAGGTGTGTTTAAGAAATCACAAACACAATTTGTTCTACTGTACCTGCCTAGCAGCACTCATGACAAAATCTTACATTTCAAAAGCACTTATAAAAATAATTGTGTCAACAGAAAATTAAAAGTTCAGGGAACTATAAATTTTTAGATTTGTAAGAAGTAATTTTTCTTACAGGAGCTTAGAAACAGTGATTATCATTAGGAAAAGGACGGTGCTGTTATTCTCCATCTACTTTTGTATCATCTGAATCTTTACTAATAAGCATACATGCCTTTTAAAATTTTAAAAATTAAATTTTAAAATGTACTATATAAATTGCTACACAATTGAGGCATCAATCACATTATATGTAACTTAGGTTCTAAACACTCAATAAGAGAAATGCCATTAGTTTGGTATTTCTGGTATATCTGGGCCACAGAGAATAAAGGTATATAATTTTGAAGAGAGTACTAAGGAGCAGTTCACTAGGGTCTTATATTTTATACTGAGGAAAAACTATATTTTTAAAATTTTGAACACTATGGTTTATTTTAATCAAGGAGACAAAGTTAATTTCATATTGGCATATTGATGTATTTACTTAGCAACAGTATCCCAAGCTACTTACATGTATATTAACCCTCACACTTTCATAATAACCAAATAGCACTGAATATGAATACTGTTTTGAAGTCAGTGAAACATTTATTAAGTTTCCCCTTTTGATAAAACCACTTTAGTTTTCAAATGCTGAAGCTGTGATTCATTCCTTTTCCCCATGTTTTGACATCAATATCTGCAATAAGGTCCTTCATGACAAGTCTTTCCTTGAGTGCTGCTCTTGGATCCAAGTCTCCAAAATGTTTCTTTTATTACTGCTTTCTCCCCCAGTAAGAGGAATATACACTTCCACTTGTGGGGATACTTACAAGACATCCCAGGTAAACTAAAGCACTGAGGAGGTGGGACAGGAGAGGTAAGAAGCTTTCTGGCTGTTCCTCTTAAAAAGGAAAGGCTTGTCCGGAAAAGAAGCACTATTATAACCTCACCTAGTTTGATCTGCTATAATATCAATACCATATCTGGCTAATTATAGGACCCATGGTCATTCTTTACAGATTCCTTCTTGGGTCTTACCAGACATTATTGCAATTTTCCATGACCAACCAGTTACCCTGTGAGCTATTTACGTACACACACAATTAAGCACTGAATAATGTTTCTGCTGCCATTACCACATCACTATATTTTTGCTAGTAAGTACATTGTGTTTTAATTTAAAAATAAGCACACCAATCTTGAGAAAATTGGCAGCTCATTAAGATGCTGGGTTCAAAAAAGACAAAAAAGCAAAAAGCCTGGTAAAGAATCAGCCTGCTGCATAGCGTGTGGCTGACATCTACTGGTGTTATATCATTCTCTGCTTCCTAGTGGTACATTTTAGCAATGAAACTAAATAATATGAGAAACACTGTGTATTTTAATTTTCCTATTTCCATAGTTTATGAAAAATAGGTAAGAGACTGGATCTCTATATATTAATATCAACATTGTTTTTACTCTGTGAGTAACTAAGGAGCTTCCCAGGTGACTCAGATGGTAAAGAATCTGCCTGCAATGCTGGGGACCCAGGTTTGATCCCTGGGTCAGAAAAATCTCCTGGAGAAGGGAACGGCAACCCACTCCAGTGGGAAATCTTGCCTGGGAAATCCCAGGGACAGAGGAGCCTTGTAGGTCCCAGTCCACGGGTCATGAAGAATCGGACACAACTAAGGACTAACACACAGAGCAACTAAGCTCTAATGCTGGATTACAGAGCCACACAAATAGGACTCAGTCTATTAAGTTTTAAATGTTTTCAAATTTTAAAATCCTGATAGGTTAAGAGCAATAATCTTAAAGTGCCTTGCAAAACTATTATTACTATTATGTCCTTCTTTTTCACAAATTTGACATAGAAAAGTTTTAATAAACAATCTGTACCCAAATTCCTTGAGTATGAACACTTCCTTCTAAACTAACTGAAAATTGTTTTATAAATTAAACCAAAATTCCCGTCATTAAATCTCATATTATCACTTAATAATTTTTTCTTTACAAATAATGTAAAAGTAAACTTCAGTAAACAGTATAAAATTCACTTCAAATCTTGAATCAATGATGCTTTACCATGTTCTTTTATGGAAAACTTACAACCTCCTTAAATGGGAATGTTTTAAAATTGTGTATCTTGGAACAAATACTTCAAATATGTTGCAATCACATGTTCAGTTGCATTCTCTTATAGTCACTGTGCACCATTTACTTTCTTTTCTTTCTCCTTCTGGGCAACAGGCAGGATTGCATTTAAGCTCAACATGGTTAAGTGACTTGCTTTGGTCAATGGAATTATGTCAAAGTAGAGACCTTAGAGAGTTTGAACATAAGAGGTCCACAGTGACCTTTATCAGCTTTCATCCCGGAGTAAAGATACCATGAACCAAAGTCCCCAAGAGATCTGACAGAGTAGTGCAGTACAAAAAAAAAAAGATCATTGAATCACTAGGATTTAGGGTTCAGCAAAATCTGCTCCATCCTACCTCTAACAACACATTTCAAGGAAGTCCTGAATTAAATGAATAGTTTTTATAGCAGTTATAAAAAGTAGCATAAAGTCAGACCTCTACTTCACACCATATACAAAAGTTAACTAAAAATGGATCTATCAATGACTTATATCTAAGAGCTAAAACAATAAAATTCATAGAAGAAAGCTTGAGTAAATCTTCATAATCATGGGCCAAAAGCAGGACCACCAATAGAGAAAACAGATAAGCCAGACTTCATCAAAATTAAAAATTTTCTGCATAAGAGGACATTACAAGAAAGTGAAAGGCATTATATAAAATGGGAGAAAATATCTGCAAATCATATACCTGGTAATGGTCTAGAACATTTACAACTCAACCACACACACACACACACACAAATCCCTTGAAAAATGGGCAAAGGATTTGAGAAGACATTCTTTAAAGAAGATATGCAACCGGCCAACAAGCACACAAAGACACCCAACTTCATCAGCATTAAAGTGAAGTCGCTCAGTCGTGTCCAGCTCTTTGGGACCCCATGGACTGCAGCCTACCAGGCTCCTCCGTCCATGAGATTTTCCAGGCAAGAGTACTGAAGTGGATTGCCATTTCCTTCTGCAGGGGATCTTCCCAGCCCAGGGATTGAACCTGGGTCTCCAACATTGCAAGAAGATGCTTTACCATCTGAGCCACCAGCATCTCATTAGGGAAATGTAAATCAAAACCACAATGAGTTACCACTTCAAAAACACCAGGATGGCCATAACTTGTTAAAAATGTAAACTTAACAACTATTGATGAGGAATTGAGAAATGGGAACTCTTGTACACTGCTGGCAGTAACGTAAAATGGTTCAGCCACTACAGAAAAGTTTGGCTGTTCCTCAAAAAGTTAAACATAGAATTGCCATAAGATTTCAAATTTCCACTCCTATATATACCCAAAATAATTAAAGGCAGATACTTAAACACTTACATGTATACCCATGTTCATAGCAGCAGTGTTCATAATAGCCATAAGGTGGGAACAGTCCAAATATCCATCAATGGATGAACAGATAAACAAACTGTCATATACACACACTGTGGAATCTTTATTAAATCATAAGGAATGAAGGAATGATACACGCTACCACCTGGATGAAACTTGAGAACATTTTGCTAAGTGAAAAGAAGTCAGACACAAAGGTGATCCACCGAATGATCCCATTTATATGAAATATCCAAAACAGATAAATCCATAGAGATAGAACACAGATTGGGGGCTCCAGGCCTGGGGTGTAGAGGGGAGCAGGAAGAAACTGCTTAATGGATAAGGGGTTTTGCTTTTGAGTGATGGATATGTCTGGAACTAAA